AGCTTCAAATTTTCCACTGGCAAAGCTGGAAAACTGTTAATTTAATGTCTGGGGGTATGTAGAGCTGCACCCTTGGCCAGGAAGGGTAGGTCAGCAGAATAAAAGATGCCAGTGGGACAAGAAGATCTTGGGCAATGGAGCCAGTTCTTGCTGTACAGACCATTTCCTGCAATCCCAATTAGAAGATTGTGTTCTATCTTGCTAAAAACCTGAGTAAATTAATTTTTCTTGGCTTGGCAGTGCTCAGCCTCATGCAAATGCCTTAGTGCTGTTTGCTGCAGCACTGTGGATGCACAGCCACCCTCAGGTGTCTGCCCGCCAGGAAGAGCCAGAATTGAATGGAAAACAAGGCAAAGTGAGGCTGTGAAGGGGAAGGTAATGTTCATTTTGGCTCTTTTACTAATTAAGCTCATGCTCTCTGTGCAAAGACACGTCCAAATGGCTTGGCCAGGGATGTGGAGGATCAGGGACATCAGCCTTTCCCTCCTCACTGTGTCCTTGGCTCCTCTGGGCTGCTGGATTTGGGACAGGGCTGTCCCACCATAGTGTTGTTCATCACCACACTGTGATCCTTCACCCCAGAATCCTTCTTATTTCACCCTCTGGATATTTTTGAGGGGACTCACCAATGTCTTGTCTCCCTGGTGTCCTCTGGCTGTAACGTTCCTTCCTGCTGGAATAACGGGAAGTGAAATGGCACGTGCAGTGCTGCAGCCTTGTTGCCCTCCTCCTGCTGTGAGTACAGGCCTTCTGCATCCCAGCCATCTGCTCAGAGTTCTGGGAAAACACCCTTTGGAGCATCAGTTGGCTCCTGCCATTCACGTTTCCTTATGGATCACTGAGCAGCACCTCTGGCTCTGTGAGGGGGTGCAAGGGGATGATTTTCCCCTTTATCTCTTGTTAAAGCTGTTGGAGATTTGGGGCTTCTCAGTCCATCACAAAATCCTATAAATATCCCAAGTGAGTTCTTGCTTTACCAAGAAGGGCAAGGAACTGATTCTGACATAGACACCTGGAATGGTTTGTGTTGGAAGGGACCTTAAAGCCCATCTCGTTCCACCCCCTGCCATGGGCAGGGACACCTTCCACTATCCCAGGTTGCTTCAAGCCCTGTCCAACCTGGCCTTGGACACTTCCAGGGATGGGGCAGCCACAGCTTCTCTGGGCAACCTGTGCCAGGGCCTCCCCACCCTCACAGGGAAGAGTTCCTTCCTAATATCTAATCATGCCAAAGCCTGGGAACTAGAGCAGGTTTTAAGCCAATGTGACCCAAAAGAAAAGGTGCTCTTGGGCCCCTGGGAAACTTCAAGTGATTTGGAAAACAGGAAGAGGTGAGGGGAGAACTGCAGAGCAGATTTCTGGGGAAAAAATTGCTGTGCACACCAAATCTGCCCCTCCAGCTCCCTGACATACTCTCCAAGGTGGAAGAGCACATTTGCCCCTTCAGAGCTGAACGTGGTGGGAAATCCAGTCTTTCCACTCAAAGAAAGGAGACCTGTGACCATGGATATTGCTGCTGGTGGGAAGTGACTTTCCAAGTCCTGATCCTGTTAAAGGGCTGAGGCACTTCTGTATGGGCAGGGGATTTACTGAGCTGCAGCTCCGTGGCTTCCCAGGGTGAAGCCAGAAGTCTCACGCCTTCCTTGGGAGTGTTTCTTTGGATTAGAGTTTCTGTTACAAGAAAGACGAGATATCAGAGAACAATCACCCCCACTCCAGCCATCAAATACCAAACCTGAAAAGCACTCAATTTTATCATTCTTCCCCAGGGTTTTTGGTTTTTTGGGTTGCTGTTTTTTTTTTTTTGCATGCTCACAAAATAGAATTATCTGACACGTGGCATCCAAAACGAGTCCAGATGCTCCATAAAGACCTTGGGGTGGTCTGGGCCTGAACCTGCAGTGCTGGGAGCTGCAGACTGACCTTTGCTCAGAGCTAAGCAACAAAAAAACCCCCAAATATTTATAGGATGCCAATGCCCATGTTTTAGCTCAAATGATTGGCAATGTGCATGAGTACACAAGCAGCAGAGGTTGCAAAGTCTTTCTGTGTTTGCACAGAAGTTGTTCACACATTTTCTTCCCACATCTTCTACATTTTCCTTTTTTTGTTGTTTTTTTTCTTAGTAGAAATACCATTGCACGAGCTGCTTCTCTGCAGATTCAATGATTTTGCTCAGCAGCACCCAGAAAATTCTGCAGTTGGGGGGAAAAAAAGGCAGCTTAGCTGTCTTGGCTTCTAAGTTTTACAACCAAGGCAGGTTTTATGGGGCACAGCCTGGCTTTCACACATTCCCAGGCTGGGCAGTGGAACATCAACACCATTACTGTCCCCTGAGTGTGGCGGGGATGGAGCACAGTCCTGCTTTACCAGAGCTTGGCCTAATCTTTCTGGAAGCTGATAAGAGACAAGAGACACTTGTACACTGATGTTAAAAGGGTGGTTGGTAGAACAGGCTTTGTACCTGCTTTTTGCCCTGCAAAACCTTTCTCACAAGGTGTGTAGGTGGGAAAGGCCCTGCAGGGGACACGGGGGTGCCCAGAGGTCACACAGTGACCCAAGGGCAGGAGGGTGATGTTGTACTTGAGGAGTGTTGCACAACCCCCTGCTGCAGGTTATCTGACGGATCAGCTGCAGTTTGTGGCCTCACACATCCTGGGATTGCAAAACAATTTGTGTTTGACACGGAGAGAGTTGGGTCACAGCTGGGCAAAGCCTGGCTGGGGCCACACACACCTTGTCAGGCCTCTGCTCCAGGCAGGCAGTGTCCAGCTGGGAGCAGTTCCAGGTCTCTGTAGCCCACAGGAGAGCAGGGCCAGGAGCGAACTGAGCACTGAGGAGACCAGGAATGTTCAGCCAGATGGGCACCTGCACCCTGAGCAGCACCTTTGCCCACTGGCTCCATCCCTGGGTTTCTCCAAGCCCTCCATTCCTCACAACTGCCTGCCCCGATTTCTCTCTGGCTGTGAGGGATGAAGAATCACGTGTGCAGCACCTCAGGAGCGGTTCAGAGCCACCTTCCCAGCAGCCGGGAGGAATTGCAGTGGCATTTTCTCTCATCTCCTTGCAAATCCTCCTGTCTCTTGGATTTGCTGGTAAAGGTGAGGAATTGTGCTGCATTGCATCCTGGACCCAGCTGCAGCCTTGGATTTTGGAGAGCTGATCCTCTGCCTGGAGAGCTTATTTTCCTCTCACATTCCTCCCTGCCTCAGTTTTGCAGGAACATTAATTTCTCCCTGGTTGGGGAGGCTGGAGAAGCTGAGCTCATCAAAGGACAGTGAGCCAGGGCCATCAGGGCACTGAGCGGATTTTCCTCCTCCTGGAATAGCTGGGTTTGTTTTCCTGGGATTGACAATGGTGCTTCCACAGAGGGTTTAAAGAGAGAGGACCTGAATTTGTGAGACTCCAATTTTAGCTGCATCTCATTTTAGAGGCCCTGTGAGGAGCATATGAAGAGCTGGCAGTGGTCAGAGGGTGTGCAGGAGAGAAAGCCTGGGGGAATGTAAGGAACAGCAAATATACAGTGACTGTTCCCCTGAATATTCCCCTCAATATCTTCCAATTCATGGCTCCAGCACTCCCCACGCTGGAGGCAGGATTTTTGAAGTTAATAGCCTTGGATGGATTTTTTCTTCCGTGAATTCGTGACACGGGGTGATAACAATCAGATAAATGAGGAAATCACGGAAATAAGGGCAAGTAGTAGGCTGGGAGAGGGATGGGCAGCAGGAAAAAGTGCTGACTGATGGAAAGGGGAGCTGGCAACACACGGTGCTGTGGGGAAGTGCCCTGAAGCCAACGGCAGAAGGAAGATGTTTGTGTCTGAAACCGGGAACTGGCGCAAAGTTCAGGGAGGAAGGAGAACAAGCGCAGTGGGACACAGGCTGCAAGTCAGAGGAGTGGCAGGATAACCACAGCCTCGTCCCAGGGATGGCTCTTCCTTCTCCCATACCTCTGACAGCACTGTCCCTTTTCCCTCAGCAGGGATGGTCCTGCCCCTCGCTGTGCCGGCGGCGGGGTTGGCTCTGCTCACTGACCGAACAGGAGGTGATGCTATTTTTGTCTCGCTTTTGCCAGGCAGTGAGGGCACTGCAGAGGAGCAGCCTATGGAAAATAACTTTGTTCTGTGAGGCGGCCGATTCCCTTGAAATGGGCTGGAAGAGGAGCAAATGGATTGGCAATGACAGCCTTTCATTTCCAAGCAGGGAGGATTGAGAAGTTAAGGGAGCTAATTACCAGAGTCAGGTGGAACGAGCTGCTAAAGGGCTTTGACGTGGTGGAGGCTTGGTGACAATGATTTCAAATGAAGGAGATGTGGTGGATTTAATATAGCCAGGACAGCAGGAGAGCCGGGATAACTTCACCTGGGAAGGTGTCTGCAGAGTGGGGGTTGGTGTTCAGAGATGGCTTTTGCAAAGCAAACCCAGCAGCTGGACCCGGCAGGGCTGCAGATGGGGAAGTCACTGCAGGGACATCCTGAAATTATGTGTGGTTTATTCCTCTTCAAGTTGTGTGTGGTTTATTCCTCTTCAAATTGTATGTGGTTTATTCCTCTTCAAATTGTGTGTGGTTTACACACCTTCAAATTGGGCACGGTTTAAAATTCAGCCACGAGCCCGCCTGTTTCCAAAGGCCACCTGAGACCTCCCGCTCACGGGGCCACCCTCCCTGCCTGGCTCTCCACAGGGATTTTAAAGCAAGGCTGGCTTTAGGCTTTGGCAGTTCCCCAGGGCTGGCAGGGGGAAGCCCCTGGGGCTGGGCTGTGCCAGGCTGTGCCCAAGCCGCATTGCAGAGCCAGGTTCAGGCAGCTCCCGTCGTCCTCACCACGTGTGATTTACTGTCCCCCAACGGCCTCCTGCAAGTTTTCCGCAGGACTTTCAGGACTGTGCTGGATTCTGGCTGCTCCAAAGGGATTTTGCCTGTGTGACCCATTTTAGCAGCCTGGCTGGGCACCTCTCCCTGCAAAAGCTCCTGCAGCTCTGCGTTGCTTTTTGAAGCTTTCAGGTGAAAAAGCAGCAGTTCTCTTGCAGCTGACATGCTGAGGCTTCTCTTTGTTTGCTGTTCTCACGCATCCTGGAGAAACTGTATTTTGGGCTCTACCTGCCAAAGGAGGCGACAGATGTTGCCAATTCCCGTGGAACAGAGGCTTCAAAGCCATGTGCCTGCTGCTCTCCTGCCTCAGTATCCCTGCTGCTCTGCTCCTGCAGAAACTTTCCCCGTGGCCAAGGAACACGTCACTCGGGTTCATTTTTTTAGTGTCTGAGGATATTCCTGACCTGGGGGATGTGGCTGCCTGGAGACCCTCCCCGTGGTGTCAGCTCGGCCTCTGCTCACTGAAACCTCCCTGACCGAGGGATGTGCTTGGATTTCGGCTCCTGCTGACACTTTGCACACTTCATCAGGCTGAGTCATTCTGGGGGGAGCCTCTTGCCTCTCCTCCCTAACCATCTCCTCCAGCTCCCCGGGAAAGGCGCCGCGGGAGCCCCGAGCGCGGCTGCGCCGTGCGGAGCGGGATCCTTGAGGAACAGCGGAGCAGTTCGGAAATTAAAAGCCATTTCATTATAGGAAATGAATGTTTAATGAGCGTAGGATGACGTCTAGACAGCCCCTCGGTTCCAGGCTCTGGGAGGAGGGCTCAGCTGACGCACCAGCACCGGCTCAGAGCCCAGGGGGAGGTTTGGCAGAGCTTTCCCGGGCGCTGAGGTCCCCGTGTGGGACAGACATCCTGGCACAGAAAGGAGCTCCTGCCTCCACGTCTTCTCGCTGCAGATGCCCCTCGTGCCTCTCTGGGCAGAGCCCCAAGGATCTGTGGCCACAGAGGGACGTGCTGGCAGGGGGAGGCTTGGCCGAGTGCCTGGCCCCGGCCTGGAGCACACAGCCACACTCCCCTGCTCCCTGGGGAATGGGAAAGCACATCCCAGCCTTTGCCGTGTCATGGGCTTTGGAGTTGTGACATGAAACCTGGGCTGACCTGGGGACAGCCTGGCAGGGTGGGGGTGAGTACTTGTGAGCCTTTGGGTCCTGCCCAGATGAAGATGTTTTAAGGCTACAGAAATGGGGGTTTAAATGCAGAGATTTGGATGTAGGTCCCCAAAAGATCCCCCTGCCATGCTGGAAATGCTGACTGTCCTCTGCAGAAGCTCTGTGCTGTCGATGTTAGAGGTTCTGGCTGCCTGGTGGGGAGAGGCAGGAGCACATCAGCTCCTTCAGGAAAGCTCTCCAGCTCCCATCCCAGGCACAGAGGCCGCTGGCTCAGTGTGCTCACCCTAGCTCAGTGAAAGCAACCACAGACATGAATTTTGAGGCCTCTTGGCAGGGGCAAGGAGGTGGAAATAATGCCCTTTGACTTCTTCCCAGAGGCTGCCTGCTTGGCTCTGGGGATGGCAGCAGGGAACGAGCCCAAGGCGCTGCCACGCACGGCACGGGAGATGCTGGTGGGACCCCCCTCCCTGTGCACCCACCCTGCTCTGTCCCCCCTTTAGCAGCAGCAGTGTCCCCTGCATGGATTCCCAGCCTGAAGAAGTGCTTTGATGTTCCTGGAGCTGGTGATGGGGGAATTGCTCCCTAGGACACCTCACTGTCCCTGTAAAGCTGCAGGGATTGATGCCACAGTATCTGGTGCTGGGCACAGAGCTGTGCACAGAGCTCCCAGGAGAGCTTCTTGGCATTCCCAGGATGCTGAGTTTGGGGAGCTCCTTGGTTCCTGGGCCTACCCTGATCACCCCTGAGAACAGCCCCGAGTTGTTGGAGGTGTGATGTCCCCAGGAATGGTGGCAATAATGGCACCTTTGTGCCCAGGGGAGAAAAATCCCACATAGGGAGAGGAGTACACTCTCTCTCCATGGGACATTCCACTCCAGCTTTCTCAAACCCTGGGACTTCTGCAGCATGGACACCTACAAACCACTGTGCCAACAGCCTCTGCCTACAAACCACTCTGCTCATGGCACGTCACATCCTGGTGTCTCAGGGGGTTGGTGGGACCTGGGGACACCACCTGAGGCTGATGGGGAGGGCTGGGTGTCATCTTCTGAGGGTTTGTTTTTGTTTTCAGCCTCCTTCAGTTGTCTTTTCCCTCCCTGCTTTGCCAAGGCATTTCCATATGGGTGTGGGAGGTTGGGAGAGCCACGGGCCGAGGGATTGGGGGTGGACTTTGTGGAACTGGTCTCCTGCTACATTTATCCAATGGACATGATTGAGAAACCAAAATATAGCATTGTCCAAGAGCATCGTGAGTTTTACCCAGCCTCAGACCTCCTAGAGCTGGGCTCCTGTCTGACTTCTTGCTCCCCAGAAAGCTTGGGCGACATTCCTTTGGGAGCCAAGGGATGTTTCCCTCACAGCCTCTGTGCACTGCAGAGGTCATGGCCCTTCAGCAGAGTCTTGTTGGGCACTGGGAGCAGGTCCTGCAAGACCTGCCTGGCTGCTGGGAAAACATCTGGCTGGATCTTACCGAGACACACATGGGGTGCTGCTGCCATATGGCAGCTGTGAGGCAACAGCTCTGCTCCGAGCTTTGCTAACGCACAGAAATCCTGCCTGGGAGCCTGTGCTGAGCTGCTCTGGGCAGGAAGCAGTAACCACAGAACTATATATACAGCTCCCAGCAGAGCTGCTGCTGCTGCTTTTGATGTGACAAAAAGAAGTTGGTGTTTTGCAAAAAAAATCCGTCGTGTCGCCTTCTTCCGGAGCTGACACGGAGAGGGCAGAGCTGGGGCTGGCTCCTGGGTGGGCTCTGGCAGGAGAACTGGGATGGGGAAGTGAGGAGGTTGCCTCCAAAACCCACGTGGTGCTGGAGGCCACGGGGTCCCTGAGCCGTGGGGAGCAGCCATGTGTTGGAGTGTCAGGGGCTGTGCTCTGCCCCCCCGCTCCTGCCAGGGTTTCACTGAGCCAGTTTGGATGGTGCCACGGCTGAGGATTCCAGGAAGGTCTGGGCTTTTTCCCTGGGTGGAAGTTGAATGCATAGAGATGGCAAATGTCACCCACAGGGGATGAAGCCTGGCCCCAAAGGCCAGTTGTCCCCCAGAGGACATGTAGCCCCTCATCTCCTGAAATCAGCCCCCAAATCCCACCGTGCCCCTTTGCTGCCTGCACCCCAACCCTGCCAGCCCCCCATGCAGCCAGGCTGGCCTCACTGTGGGGCTGGGCTGGGCATGAGGCTGTGACCCCTCTGCTCCTGCCCTTGGCAGGTGAAGCTGTGAGGTTCTGCAGGACCTGTGGTCTGTGCCCTGGGCAGGTGAAGCCCTGCAGACCTGTAGGACTGTGGTCTGTGCCCTGGGCAGGTGAAGCTGTGAGGTGCTGCAGGACCCCTTCCTGGGCAGGTGAAGCCCTGAGGACCTGCAGGACCCCTTCCTGGGCAGGTGAAGCCCTGCTGTGCCTCTCCTGTACTGTTTTGCAGAGCGGGGCTGACTACGGCTTCCTCGTGAGCCAGAACACGAAGCTCCTGAGTGCCCTGGAGGACCTGCGGCACCGCTGCTCCAGCCTGGCCGAGGAGAACAGCCTGCTGGTGAGCAGAGGGCACATCCTGCACCCTGGCTGGGCGCTGGCACGGGATGCTCCACAGGGAGGGAGTTCTGGCCAGGGCGAGCTGCTGTCTGCTGCCAATTCCAAGAGATCCCACACATGGGATCATCTGGGCAGGGCCAGAGGGGACAGGGGGTCTGGGTGCTCTGGGTGCCATCACACTGCACCCATCAGCTCGAGCTGGACCCCTTCCTCGAGCTGCAGAGCAGAGCCGGGCAGGGGAGGGGAAGTTGCCCTTATTTCCTCTTTAACTATATTTGATTCTGTGAAAAGCAGAAACACTGATTCACTCGGCCTGGTCTCGGCGTGACAGTGCAGCACTGCCCCCTGCTCCCATGGGAGCTCAGCACCCCGATCCTCCCCAGCTGCACCCCGGCACCCAACACCAAGCCAGGCTGCCACAGCATGGGCCTTCTGCCCTGCTCCCCCATCCCTGGCTCTCCAGGCCCATCAGGAAGCACAAAGAGGGGATATTCCCCTCCCGAATCCTCCCTGGAGAGCAACACCCCTTGCCCAGCCCCGCAGTGTGGGGATGCAGCCACCCCAGGCCCCTGCAAATTCGATTGCTCAGCATTTCAGATCTCTATCACCACATTCAAAAGGCATATTGTAGATAAATTTCTTACGCTCAAAGCATAAATTCCACGTGGCCTGCACCCTGTGGTTACCCCTTATCAGTCCTCTGGGTTTTAGCGAAGCACAAGCGTGTGAGCTCTCATCAAATTGGACTCTCAAAAACCAGCCTCAGCCTTACAGCTGAGCCGCCCTTGGTGGGGTCTCACAGGGGTAGGGAGGGAAATAATCGTGAGCCTCAGCTGACCTGACATTTCTGCTGATGTGAAAAGACAGCACAACACATCTGGGTCCGACCTTGGGAGAAGGAGCCGTCGGCAAGAGGCGGCTCATTGGAACGGACAGATAACAAATAAAAGGGGATTAAGAGCGAACAGAATCAATAGGGAGAAAAAGGAAATTTGCTTTGCAAATATCATAAAGTCCTTTGTCGCTTCCTCCAAAGCTCGTGCTTTGGTGTCAGGAGAGAAAAGACACGGATAAGCTTGTCCTGGTGGTGCAGTACAAATCCACAGGGATGTGCTGAGTCCTGTAAACCCGGGAAAATAAACTGGGAAGACTTTGGAGGAGAAAGGCCAAAGGGTGGGTGGCCAGGATATGCTGATGTTGGAGACGTGTTGAGTCCTGGCAGAGCCTGCAACGAGCATGTTGTGGATGGAGAGGGACCACGTGGGATGATCTGGGGATCTCACGGGGAGCAAGAGGTCACATTAACAAAAATAGCAGGAAAACCACAATTTCAGTGACTGGAGAGGCAACAACAGCAGAGGTTGGTGTTCGATGGTTTGGGTAGTTCTAGAACAGGTCGGGCAGGACCAGGGACATTGGCTCCTGAGCAGGGGCTTCACCTCCAGCTTCTTTTTCTGTTCTGCAGCGCAGGAGCTGCTTCCCCCAGACGGAGGAGAAGGTGAAGCACCTGAAGAGGAAGAACGCGGAGCTGGCGGTGATCGCCAAGCGCCTGGAGGAGAGAGCCCGGAAACTGCAGGAGGCAAACCTCAAAGTGGTGGGTGCTGGGACCTGCCCTGGCTGGGGAGCTGAGCTGGGACAGCACCTCACCACCAGGACCTTCTGTTTGCCACCTCCATCGAGCTAGAAAGGCCTTTTCTTTCCCTTTTTCTTAAACCTCCAGCAAACATGCTTTGCAAGAATCACCAATCCCAGCCATTGCCAGCTGCTCTGCTCCTGCTCAGGGAGCTGGTGTGAGGAATTTCCTCCTGCTTGGTTTCTCCCCATAAGGTGATAGTTTAAGTTAATTAATGCGGCTTTCTCTGAAGTCATGAAAATAATTCATCTGACTTCACCAGAAAGAAACAGGAAGGATTTGAATAAGAATAGGAGTGCGGTGAAGCAAAACAGGAAGGGGTGAGAGACAGCTCTGCCCCATCCACACCTCGCTCACAGGGCTGCACAAGCCACAGGGGTTTTGCTTTCTCCAACCCAACAGCAGCTTGTTGTGAAGCCTGTAGTGTTTGACACCTTGCAGGAGCAGCAGGAGATGCCTGTAGGGTGTGGGATCTTGGGTACGAGTTCCTAAAGGGGGATTGCAGTGGAGTAAGGCAAAACCTTCCTTCTGTTGGAAGGAAAGCAGGGATTGTGATGGGGAATTCGAGCCCTCTAGGACAGAAAGGAGGAAGTGAAAGCTGTGTTGGAGGGAAGGTAGGGGGTTTTCCTGGCTCTCTGTCCCCAGGCACCACACGGCCCGTCTGTCATGGGGTTTTGGTACTTGCAGGGCAACAGATGGACTTGTCAGATACTATGTTAAGAGAAGCCATTTGATATACACCCAACAGCTCTGCAGCCCCCCCAGCACCTATACAAATACTGGTTTATTTGTTTCCCCAGTGACACTTTGGGGTGGTCACAGTTTAAGGCCTGTGGGAGCCCTGGGAGAACCTGCTGGGCTCCTGTGCTGGCCAAGGTGTCCAAGTGCTCGGATGGCTGAGGCTGGTGGAGGGTGGGCTGGAGGCAGGAGCAGAGGAGGGGCCCTGAGGATCTGGGGTTAATCTGGCAGTGGTTGCCTTCAGTGCCTGGTGCACAGGTCCCATGGAGCTTCTGCACGTGGGTGAGATGCTCGGGAAGAGCTGGGGAGGAGAAGTTTGCACAGAGGATGCAAATCCTGATCAGGCAGGGGAGACTCCCCCCTCCCCAGATTGTGAGGCTTTGTGCAGATGACAGTAGCTGGGCAGGGGGAGGAAGGGTTGGATAAAGTCAGGGACTGGAGGTGTCCTCACTGCCCAGAGGGTTGGGATGAGCAGGGGGGTGTGAGCTGCCCCTTCATCCAGCTCTGTGGTGCTGGTACCCAGTGGGAGAGCCCACCCCAGGGATGGGGGAATCCCAGAGACGCTGTGCCAGGAAGCCTCAGCTCCTGCTGGGCAGACAAAGCCTGTCCCTGACTAGCCTGCTCCTCCTGAAGCCCTGTCACCCCCACCCCTGCTCTTCCCTCCCTCACAGGGAGCATGTGAACCTGACCTGCTTCTTCTGCAGAACATCTCCCACTCCTTCCCTGGCTGTGCTGGTCCTTGCTGGGCTCTCTCTTGCCTCCCCATTTCCCTCCGTCCTCCACACAACCATGCTGAAGCTCTTTCCTGCTGCCTAGAAACCCACAGATGCTCCATTTCTCTTCCTGGTTTGACCACCTCTGTCCTTTATCCCATGCTCATCTTTCCTGCCATCCTCCCCTCCTCTTCTCTGCTACCTTCTGCTGTTTTTCTGCCCTCATCCTGGTTTTCTGTCTTCCCCCCTGCCCGCAGCCCCTGTTCTGGCTGTACCCACTGAGCCCACCTGCTGAGTCACCTTCTCCTTCCCACTTCTTCTCTGACCCACTTCTCCATCCAGCCCTTCCTCCTCCACTTTTCCATAGGTCTGTCGTGCTCCTCTGCTTGTCTGTCCTTTGGGGCCAGGCTGTTGGGATGATTGGTGGTGGTGACTGAACACCAAGGGGTGATGGGGTGGTGGTTGATGAACACCAAGGGGTGGTGAGGTGGTGGTTAAAGAACACCAAGGGGTGATGGGGTGGTGGTTAAGGAGCACCACCACACCTTTCTCCCCACTGCTCTCTGTGTAGGTCACTGCTCCAGTGGCTCTGAAGGGCTCCAGCCTGGAGCTGTGTAAGAAAGCCTTTGCCCGCCAGCGTGCCAAGGACCTGACAGAGCAAGCCAGTGCCCTCCTGGCCAAAGACAAGCAGATTGAAGCTCTGCAGCAGGAATGCCGGGAGCTGCAGGCTAAACTCTCGGCAGGAAAGGTGAGACACTTGCCGGGACATCACTCGGGGGCTGGGACAAGCTGCGCAACAGCAGTGATGGAAACCAGGCTCTGGAAAGTGGTGTGAGGGCAATTAATCCCCAGTGCAGGCTGAAAACAGAGGGGATTTGATGTGTGAGTTGAATGGGGACACTGGGGGAGTGTTGAATGGGGACACTGGGGGAGTGTGTGGCAGAGACAGTGTCTGGACCCCTCTAGCAGGGTGTTGGGGGTACCCCAGTTGTCCCTCTGTGAATTCATTTTCAGTAGCAATTAAAACCCTTCCTCTAAAAACCTCTGAGAAGCCACAGATACACAGATTTTTCACAGGGCTGAGCTTCAACCAAGATGTAGGAGCAGGACCTCCTTTTAAAGCGTTTCTTTGGGAAGCCAATCAGCACATTCTCAAGAACCAGCCTAAATCCCACATATTGAGCTGCAGCTTTCTGAGCACTCGCAGCCACCACGAGACTGGTGATAACTCAGTGGGTCCTGGGATGACTGTGACCGAGGCCACAAACCACCAGCCAGGGCTGGGTGTTCATGAAACCATCCCCAGTGCTGTGTCTGCACCTGGGCTGGTGACCTGCCTTCCCTTCAGCACCAGCACAGGCCGTGCAGATATAAACAGTGGGATAAAAGGGATAATTCAGCTCATCCTGAGACAGAAATTTAAAACTGGTCATGTGTGTTGCTCCTCCAAAGCACTTCTCTGTGACAGCTCTGAAAGCAGCCTCTGCAGGCAGCTGAAGCTGAGGGAGATGGTTCCCACTCAAGGTGATAAAGTTTTGGGCAGATCAGCCACATCTGTTGTTCACAAGCTGGACATTTTCAGTTTAGGTCAGTTCCAACTCTCCTGAGCAGCTCAGGAACACTTGGGCTCCCACTGGTTTCCCCCTGTTTTGCTAATGCAAATGTGGCCAAGTGCCACCCTACATCCCTGCCCCCAGCTGAGCTGAGTGAAACCTTGCATTTCTACCTGCCCTACTTACATGATGTTTAGGTGACAAATACTTCCTTGCTGAAAGCAGCTTTATTTTTGTTCCTGAGCTCCCCATATGTTCATTTTAACTACACGTTCGAAGGTGGATTCTCAGTCTCACCCTAATGTGGATCTAGACGGGATAAGAGCAACTGGGTGTATTTGGTGTTTGTACAGAGCTGCTCCATTGATCCTTCCTGGCATTAAACCACAGGATAAACTTATCCAGGCCTGACTGTTCCCTATGGTGTCAGCAAGAAGAAACTTCCTTCCCATCCCTTGAGTTCTCACTTCAGGCCCCTGCAGGAAGGGGAACAGACCCTTTCCAAAGCTCTCTGATTTTCCAAGCAGAGTGTGCTGGGCAACCTGACCCTGCCAGGGACAGGGGAGTGACAAATTGTGGAGGAATGGGACAAAAGCGGGTGAGCAGGATTCATTACTGGCCAGGGAAATACACCCTGAGGGGTGACAAATTCAGCCACTAGGGCATGGGTGACCACCCTGTCCCCAAAGGAGAGACAATCCCTGTCACTGCCATGGCACCAGGGACCGGGGACACCGATGCACGAGCAGGGAATCCATAGAAAAGAAAGCAAGAGAGGAGATCATTCTTTCTGATCTTGTTTTCCCCATTTTTCTCTCAAGCAAGCTCATTAAATTTTAATTTCCAGCTAGTTAAAATTCCAAATTCCCCTAATCTGTCTGCAGCATGCAAAATGCATTAGGCCAATGAAGGGGGTTTTATGCAGAGATATGATGGGCACACTCAGAGTTTGTAACCAAATCAGTTTTAATCTCGGGTATTTAAATCAGCACTAATTTTTCAATAGCTGTGAAATGGATCCACTCAGTTCCCTGCAGTGGCAGGACACACACACTGGCCTTGTTTTGGCAAAGCCAGGGCTCTTAGGATGGGATAAAATGATTTCCTGAGATCACACTCCGGTGAGTGGCTTCCAACCAAACGCCAGCTCCGGGTAAATCCAGGCTGCAATTTTTTGCAGGATGGATTCTTGGAAGCATGGGATGGGGGGGAGCAGTGAGGCAGCTGCAGGGGATGGGTATAATAGAAACTGAGGGGAGGGCTGAGCTCTTTTCCTCCTCCCTTGTTCCCCCAGGCTCCGGAGGCTCAGTTGGGAATAGCTGCCTATTTTTGGTGGGGGAAGGGAGATTTTATACACAGCCACAGCCAATTTTGCTTAAAGAACTACTGCCCTGAGAGCCTGAACAGGGGACTGGCACAGAGGAGGCCCAGCTGCTCAGTTCTTGAATCTATAAGCAGTTCCCATTAATGGTGCCTCAGTTTCCCCCCTTGCAGCATGAGAGTAACCATGGTTTTCTCCTCAAACTGTATTTTTAAAGCACGTGCTATTTTTAGGGGGAATAAGAAGTGAACAGGGAAAAAGATTAAATTTGTCCTGGATACCAACTCTGCTTTGAATTCACCAGCTTAGGAGCTTTCCAGGGGAATGAGCAATGTCTCCTCCAGCAGCAGATTTGTAAAGACAGGTTTTCATAGCCCGCTTTTGTACATGTGGACATGCAGGTACGTGTTTCTTCAGCTTCCTGAAATCTGAAAACCTTTGAAGAACGAAACAAGCTGGTGACATATTCTCACTGGTTTTGTGAGAATCAGACTGGGCTGGTTTCCTTCAAAAGCTGCTGGGTTTAGGTCAGGATGGGAGTGACCCCTTGTGCTAAAGATAGGGGCCTATCGCTGTCTCTGACAAGGAGAGAAATCAAATAGTTTGAAAACCAAACATTATCCTGAGGGAGAACTGACCAAATCCCAGATGTTCTTCGTTCTTGCAGCCACTCAAAGCCTTCACCACCGCTGGGGCTGCAGCGCTTGCCAGCACCCACCCACATCAAGGAGAGGAAGCAGCTCTGCTTTGGCTGGGACATGACGTGACATTATCCTGCCACGCTCCCTGCTGGCATGTGCTGAGATGGCACACGCTTGGCAAAGCCCTTCGTGCTGGGAGAGCTGCAGGAGCATTACGGGACCATTACAGGCTGGGGTTTATCTTGAGGAGGAAAAATGTATTTGCATAAAGGACGCAAAGTGAGCTTTGAGGCTTTGGAGACCCAGGAATCAGCAATCTGTGTGTGCCACAGTAGCTGGGTTCCACCAGCCTCTCCCCTTTTGGAGTGTGTGTGTTAAGTGTGACCTGTCCCAGCTTTTGGGGCCTGTCAGTGACACAACACCGGGTTTGTTTTCCTGCAGGACGACCCTCGCTGCCTCAACGTCATCGAGTTCGACCGCCTGCTGCGGGAGTCCCAGCGGGAGGTGCTGAGGCTGCAGAGGCAGATTGCCCTCAAGAATTTCAAGGAGTGTCTGCGTCCCCCCAAAATGAGCCCAGGCAGTGCCAGGCCGAGCGCTGCCCCACGCCTGGGACCGAACACCGGCAGCAAAGGTTCACCTCTGCCAAAGGAGGCCTCCTTGGGAGACCCGACGCTGGGAGGGAGAGCTCGCAGGGAGGTGAGACAAGTGGGTCAGCCACCGGAAAGTTTTTATGTTTAATTGCTCAATTAATTGCTGTTCTTAGGGAGTTTCATTTGGAGGAGCTGAGGGCTGTGGTTTGCATCCGCTGCACATTGGTGCTGTGCTGGTTTCCAAAGGGACTAATTCCAGTGCCAGGTCTGAGAGGGTGAGGAGGGACATGGATGCTCCTGGCAGCACAGGGTGGGGACACTGACCCATGCCAGGGGCTCAGTCCTGCTCCTTTTCTGTGACACAGGGCTCCTGTGCTGTGTTTTCCAGCCTAGGAAACCAGGCAATGCTTCTCTTTCATAGAATCATGGAATGGTTTGGGTCGGAAGGGACCTTAAAGCTCATCTCATTCCACCCCTGCCACGGGCAGGGACACTTTTCACTAGACCAGGTGGTGCAAGACTGTGTCCAACCTGGCCTGGAACACTTCCAGGGATGGGGTAGCCACAGCTTCTCTGGGAAACTTGTGCCAGGGCCTCCCCACCCTCACAGCCAAGAATTCCTTCCCAATATCCATCTAACCTTGTCCTCCGGCAGTGGGAAGCCATTCCCCCTTCTCCTATCACTGTCCGCCCATTTCCCCTCCCAAACAATGTCTGTTCTTGCCTTTTGTGTATTCCTGTTGCTCCAGGAGGTCCCTACCTGAGTCCTATCCCTGCTCTCTGGCAGTGGGAAGCCATTCCCTCTTGTCCTGTCCCTCCATCCCTTGTCTCCATCTCTCCTGGAGCCCCTTTAGGCGCTGGAAGGGGCTCTCAGGTCTCCCCAGAGCCCTCTTTTCTCCAGCTGAACCCCCCCAGCTCTCCCAGCCTGTTTCCAGACCAGAGGGGCTCCAGCCCTTGGAGCATCTCCGTGGCCTCCTCTGGACTCGCTCCCGCTCGCCCCAGAGCTGGAGGCAGCTCCAGGAGGGTCTCACCGGAGCGGGGCAGAAAGGGCAGAACCCCTCCGGTTGCGCTGCCGCCGGGGCTCAGCCCAGGCCCCGCCGGTCCCGCTGCCCGGCCCAGCCCGGCCCTGCGCGGCCCCTCCGCCCGCAGTGGTTCAGCCCCGCATATCCGGGGCCGCCTCAGGGCGCCGCCTCCGCCGCGGCCGCGCAGCCGCCAGGTAAGGCCGGGCCGGGGGCCGAGCCGGGCCAGGGGCCCCGAGCCGGGCCGGGTGTGTGTGTGGG